CATTGGTTTGCTTAGCAATGAAATTGAACATTATAATACAAAAGAAGCATTCTTGGCTCAAAAAGCAAAAATTATCATAGAGATTGAATTATTTTATTTATTTCCTAATCAACATCATTGGAGAAATTGGTTTCCAGATATATTGTAAATATAATAATATTCATTTAATCAATTAAATCATTTTGATAAATTCCTTTTAAAATTTTTTTTTGTTAGATACTATGATGCACCAATTGATGATATTCATAAAAAAATTAAAGAAATAGATGATAGCAATGAGGATGAAGAAGATCTCCCATATATTTCTGATAAGCTTAGAGAACTTGCTGAAGTGACTAAAAAAACAGAAAATGATTTTGATTCAAAATTTCAACAAATTGAAGACAAACTTGTTGAAGTATCTGAAAAAAACAGAAAATGATTTTGATTCAAGATTTCAACAAATTGAAGACAAACTTGTTGAAGTGTCTAAAAAAACAGAAAATGATTTTGATTCAAGATTTCAACAAATTGAAAATATTCTTGAAAATAATATGAAGGAAATTGAAAAAAATCTTAAAGATGACCTCAAGGAAATGGAAAATAAATTAAATAATAATAATGATCAATTGTTAACTCAAATGCAAATTTTGTTGAATGAAATTAAGAATTCCAAAAAATAATTATTAAATTTATTATTTTATTTTATTTTTTTATATTATTATTATTTATTTTTTGCAAAAACCATTGTATTTGTTATTTTTGAAAATTCAAAAGTTAAAAAATGTGATAATATTAATATATATTTTGTGATAATGTTACCAGAATCAAACAATGATGAAGATATTTTGACCAAATCCTTTAATTTCAAACCAAATTAAATTTTATTTCTATTTTTATTTTTATTATTATTTTATTTAATCTATTTTTATTTTCATAATTTTTATTTTTATTATGGTTGGCTCGGTCTAAAGACTCCTATTGCTGCGCCACTCGCTCAAATTTCCAAAAAATTTTGTGGTTTGTTCAAAAATGTAATAAATTTTTTAAAAAAAAAGGTTTCACATGATTTGATTTAAAAATTGTTTTCCTTAGCAGTCAGTGTGCAAAACCTAAAAATTAAGGGGCATGTCATTTTGCCAGAAATTTTGGCTGATCAACATTGAAATTTTACTAATAAAAACTCAAATTGAATGTCTTCAGTCCCTTATTTTATACCCTTGTTTTGTATCAATTGTCACCAAAATTTCGATGTTGTTTATTTTTCATGTTCTTTATTTTGTAAAAAGTTTTCAAGTAAGGTTAATAAAAGAGCGGAAAAGAATCAAGGTCTCAAAGTTTTTTTTGTCTTTGTGTGACAATAGAAGTGCAAATGGGGATTCATGTCTTGCAAGTAAACTTGTAAAACTAGTGAAGTATTTAAATATTTTAAACATTATGATTATATTCAAAGAAATTTTAAATAATGAATAGTTTGACAAATAAATTATTATTTTTATTTTTATTACATTTTTATTAGATTTCTTTGTTATATTAATTACACAGGAAGGATGTTCATTAATAGATACTTGTCATGTATTTATAATCAATTATTATACTCATTATTTGTGTTAATTATATATATTATTATTAATTTAATTCTTTTATTATAGATATAAAGAACAATTAAATAGAATCGGGATAGAGATACTTGTAATTTATAATTCAATTAATATTCATATTAAAACTTTTGACTTTTTTGTTAAATCATTATTCTTAAATCTTTTGAAATTTCAGAATTAACTTTTTTTATTATGATAATATATTGAAGATAGAATTGACAAGATATGGTGATGACATAAAATTATGATGATGCTTACCAACCAACCTTTAGACACACCATCCAAATAATACCAATCAAGAATATAGATGTTAGTCATAACTTTTGATGGTAGTTGCAATAACCTTTGTGATTGCAATAACCTTTGTGATTGTAATAGCCTTTGTGATCATAATAACCTTTGTGATCATGATAACCTTTGTGATCATGATAACCTTTTTGATCGTAATAACCTTTGTGATCGTGATAACCTTTGTGATCGTAATAACCTTCATGATTGTAATTAAAGTTGTGGGCAAAACCTCCTTAGTAATTGCTGAAACCATGGCAAAACTATATTAAATCTTATCAAAAATCCTGTTGAAACTATGCCGAAATGGCGAAACCTCAAAATGCGAAACTCTGCCAAAATTCTAATAAACAATTAATGTGAAACCCTGCTGATTGATTTCTGGAGGAATTTCGGCAAGCAACCTTACCTTGGGCTCTGTTAAAAATTATAAAATGTTTTTCCAAAAAAAAAAAAAATCAATTCACGTCTGTCCTATATACCAAAAAAACCAATAGGATAAATAATTAATGTGTATGCATTGATCATTCACAAACTTTTTTTCTCTCAAAAAATGTCTTTCACAACAAGAAAAAGAAACAGAAATCAAGAGACAAAAAATATATACGAGTAAGTGTTTTAAGGATGGTGGTGGTGGTTATCTCCCGCCACCTGTCATCACTCTATTTATCAACATTAAGTTAAGTTTGGATAGAAGGTCTGTGTTCAGTTCGTTATGAAAAAACTTGTCAATTTTGACTAAAGAAATACAAATAAGGAAATTGTTTGCATAAAAAACTATGAACCTCTCTTATATATATATATGTATATTATCTTTAGTTTTACAAATATATTTGAATTTTTAATTGAATTTAATTGGATAGAATTAAGAGTGATTATTATTTGGTATACAGTTCACTCTCTCTATAACGGCCTGCCTGATTTGGCAAAAAAAGGCTGTTATAGAGAGAGACCGTTATAGAGAGTTTGCTGATCATAGTCATGTGATAAATTATAATGCGATACAATATATTTTTTATATGGTGCAGGTAAGGTTGTGGGCGAAACCTCTTAATGACTGTCGAAACTCTGTCGAAACTCTAATGAACAATTAATGTGTAACCT